CACTCCTGGAAGCAAGGCTCAAGTTACCGCCTGGGATGATCAGGCAAACTCTCTCCAAGGAAGCTCACGCAGGGAGGAGATGCCAGGGCCGGGCCCGGAAATCTTTGCCTTTAAATGGGAGGCGGGAGGGAGTGAGGGCGCAGGAGGCGGGCGGGGACCGGACGTCACTGCGTCTCACCTTTCACAGTCCACTGGAGGACGCAGCGCCTCCGGGTGTGGCCGGCGTGATCCTGTCCCGGCTGGGCCGCTGCTGTTCGCTGGTGCCCGCATCCGCGACCCCTAGACCGACCCCCGGAGCGTGCCCCGCCGCGCACCCCAGCAGGAGCGCTCACCTCAAGGTTGTTCTCTCCCTCCTGCTCCAGCTCCTCCGAGCCCAGGTCCGACATGGTCTCCTCTCAGCCTAGATCCCAGTCGCCAAGTCCCTAGCAGGTAAGTACCCGCCGCCTCCTCTGGTGCGTCTACCGTCGCCATGGAGACCGTTCCCCCCTAGCTGTCGAGAAGGGGCGGAGCGTGAAGCGCGGGGGGGAGCCAGTGGTAGCTCTGGCGTGCTGCCCTAGCAACGGGCAGGGTGCGTCGACCAATCGCCGTCCCGGACGGGGGAGAGGGCGGAGTCTGGGCGGGGCCAAAGTCTCGTGGCGCTAAGGGAAGCCCTGGGATATTGTCCTAGCAACGGTAAGGGAGTGTGAACCAATTGTGGCCCGGAAGGGGGCGTGGCCGAAAGCACGAGGAGGAGCGAGGGGCTGCCCTGGGATACAGGGGTACTGCCTAGCAATGGAAGGGCATGTTGACCAATCACGGCCTAAGAGGAGAAAGGGGCAGGGCCTGGGTAGGTCAAGCTCCGCTTGTTGTCTAACCTGGACACCGCGTGAGGCTGGAACCGTGCGTTCTTCTGCTCCCAGAAGCAAAAGTAAAGATCTCCCTGGGACCTGGGCTCCCGGAGAAGGAGCGGGGGACGCTGGCCCGGACTGACCTCCCAGGCTCCAGTGACCTCGGTGATCCTCTCCGCAGATGCGCCCCAAGCTGAAGCTCGCCAGTCTGACCCCCCTCGCTCCCGACGTGACTCCCAGCCTACGCCCGCCTCAGACTCTCAGTGACCCCACTGAGTGACCCCACTGAGCTCAACTCAGGTCCACAGGCCCACACAGTCACTCTCATTCTCTCCTCCTGGCTCGCTCCAGTTACCCATATGGCCCTGTCCACGACCCCTCCGTTGTCACCCGAGCTCAGGCCTTCCTACACCCCCGCTACACCAGCCTGCAGTCAATCTCAGCCTCCGTATCTTCACCCTCGTCCTCTGCCCAGATACCTGACACAGTCTCCATCCCACCCTGTGGCCCTGGATGGTCCACCTGCCCCTCTGCAGTTGACATGCGCAGACAAACCAACACACTGGCAAGGCCCAAACGGCACTCCTCTCCTTACCCTATGCGCCGGTCCATGCTGTACCCTCTCGTTAGACCACCTGCCTTCCCAGGCTCTGCGACCAGAAATCACTGGCTAAGGAAGCTCCTTCCTGAAAGAGGTCGAGTGAAAATAAAGGCGCCGTGAGGGAGGGAGAGAACAGGGTTTGGAGAGGGAGGAAGTCTCCAACTTTATCCCATTGTAATGGCCTGAGTGAGATAAAATGTAAAATTTAAAGTGCTGGGTGTGGTGGCGCATGCCTGTAATACCAGCACTCAGGGGGCTGAGGCAGGAGGATTGCCATGAATTCAAGGCCAGCCTGGACTGTAGACTACATAGTGACTTTGAGGTCAGCCTGAGCTACATAGTAAGACCCTGTCTCAGAATCCAAAGCAAAAAAAAAAAAAAAAAAAAAAAAAAAAAAAAGCTACACATGTAAGATATACAATGTAATGATTTGATATAGATACACCTTGTATACCAGTTAGCACAAATTAGCACATGTCATCTCCCATAATAACTATCCGTTTATGAGTGTGTGTTTGGCAGGGGTGAAGACACTTAGAATTGCCTCATCAGATTTCAAGTAAACAAGGCAGTAATATTCACTAAAGTCACCATGTTACACATCTGATTCCCCGAACTTATTATACAACCAAAGATTATACTCCACCAACGTCTCTGCTCCCCTGTTCCCCAGCCCTGGTGACACCCACTCCACTCCCTTTTGCAATGCTATGGTTTGAATGTCTTCTTCCAACGGCAGGTGTTACCAGTGTGACAGCATGTTGGTCAGCTTTCTGTCACTGTGACAAAATACCTGAGGTGATCATTACAGGGATAAAAGGTTCATTTTGGCTCAGTTTCAGAGCTTTCTGTCATGGTTGGTCGGCTCCTTGCTTTTGGTCCTGTGGTTAACACAAGACATCATGGTGGGCTCACCTGTGGCACCTGGGAGTGAAAGAGAAAGAAGCCAGTGTCCTGATAGCCCCTTCAAGGCCACGCCCCTATGACCTAGCCTCCTCCCGGTAGGCTCCACCTCTTTTTTAGGCTCCGCCTCTTAAAGGTTCCACACCCACCCAAGAGTGTCCCAGGCTAGCAAGCACATGGCCTTTTGGGGAACTCTCACTCCTAACACATGATATTGAAAGGAGGCCTTTAAGGGGTGAGTAGGCCATCAAGGACTCTGCCTCATGAATGGGATTCAGGCTGTGGTAAGGACACTGCACCCAGCATCCTGCTACCTTGCTCTTCTGCCATGTAAGTACACAGTATTCGTCCTATTTATCCCTTCACCTCTCCCCATGGGAGGACTCAGCAAGAAAGCCCTCAGAGCCGGGTCTCGTGTTAACCTCAGGCTTCCCAACCTTCACAGTGATGAGAGAATAAACCTCTGCTCTTACATATTAGCCACTGTTTTGTTACAGCAGCACAGGCAGGCAGACATGCACAGGGAGGTGAGATCGCATGTGTTTGGCTTTCTGAGTCGGGCCTATTTCACTACCATCCTGCCCTCCAGGTATATCCAGGGTCGACAAACGATAGGATTTTCTTCTTTGTTTTTAACATGGTATCATTTTCTTTGTCATCTGACAGACACTCACACTGCCCCTCCATCCACCTTGGCTGTTATGAACAGTGTGCTGCTCTGCACTCGGGAGTCAGGCACCTCTCCAGCACAGGCTCAGCTCCTGTGGATATGAGCCCAGAAGTGGGGTTGCGGGGCTGTGACAGCTCCAGTTTTGGTTTTTTTTATTATTATTATTTGTTTATTTTTCTGTCCTGGGGATTCAACCCAAGGCTAAGCACATACTAAGCACACACTACCACTGAGCTACATTCTCAACATTTTATTCCTCTGTTTTTAACTTTTTTTAAAAATTGAGTTTATTGGTACAATCTATGTATACAATACAGTTACATTCATTATTGGGATCCTGTACCTTTACATAACAGGTCTTGATTCTCATTTTTCCCCTTGTCCCTGCCCTCCCTCCTCCCCTCCCCATTTACAAACACTTTATTTCCATTTTTGCAGTTTCTCATATTTTTCCCTCTCCCTTTTACCTTTCCCCCACCCTTCCCACTTTCCCTACACCTTTAGCCCTTTACTTCCTATTTCACATTATTATCTATCTCATTAGGATCCTGTGTACTATTATAGTTTTTCACACCAAAGAAACTAATTGGTATTTCAGTTAAAGAAATCTCTGTATGAACATTAAAAATAGGGAATCCTAAAATAAAACTAAAAAGGAAAGTAAAAGAGAAAAGGCAATGATGTAACATTAAAATAATCCTTAATTCTGGAGATGAAAATGATCCCCGGACATATTTAAATTGCTTCTTGCTCTTATAGTCTTATCTTATTCTTTTTTCATTATTTAGAGAATACTTTATTAGTTTCTGTAATCAAACCCATGTAGATATGACCTTACATATTTAGTACGATGTGTTACCCCTGTACACATGGAAAAAAAATAAATTAACATTTCTAGACCAATATGGCTGTCCATTTCTGTACAATGCCAACTGAACACAGTAAATTGGGATGACTTTTTCCAAAGTTGGCAGCACCATTAAAGTTTCCCAAAATTCAATTTATATATATATATATGTATATATATATTTATATTTATATAAAAAGACTAATAATAGTATGTTATACATCGATAGCAGCAACAGCTTTTCCATGTTCTGCAGTCATCTGAACAAAATTATAGACATTCTGCACATTCCATTAAAAACAAAAGAACAACAACAACACACACAAAAAAAAAAAACAAAGAAAAGAATAATATCCAGAAAACAGCACAGTTCTGTTGGTACCTGGAACCATTTTTTTTTTATTACATCTTAATCATCATCTGGAAAGAGAACATTCTAGAGTAATATCATTAAATATAGCTCTAATAAAGCACGGTCCCTACTATGTATCCTAAAGCAGGTACAAGATATGATACATTCATAGAGGTATGATACAGTACCATCCTACATCAATAATACTAGATTCAGTTTTGGTTTGAAATTTACTTTGTCTGCAAATAAAATTGCTACCCCTGTTTTTTTCTGGGCTCCTGTCACATGGAGAATTGTTTTGTGTCTTTTCACTTTCAGTCTATGGACTTCGTTTTGCACTAGGTGTGTTTCTTGTATACAACATATTGTTGGATTTTGCTTCTTATTCCATTTTGCCAGTCTATTTCTCTTGATTGGTGAGTTGAGGCCATTGACATTGCTGGTTATAACTGATATGTACTGACTTATTATTGACATGTTATTGGCCTTTTGTTGACTCTTTTTACTTTTTCGCCTTCTTTTACTTTCTTGCCTTGCCTATTTGATTTGCTCTGTTGGACCTGATGGTGTTGCTGCCTTCATTGTCTTTTACTAGGATCTTGTTTAGAATTGCTTGTAGTGCTGGTTTGGTATTCATGTAGTTTCTCAGGTGTTCTTTGTTGTGGAAGTGTCTTATTTCCCCATCCATTTTGAAAGAGAGTTTTGCTGGATACATCAGTCTAGGTTGGAGGTTGTTCTCTTTTAGTACTTGAAATGTCTCATTCCAGGCTCTCCTTGCCCCAAGGGTTTGTGTTGAAAAGTCTGCTGTGATTCTGATGGGCTTTCCTTTGTATGTGATTTGTTTCTTTTCTCTTACTGCTTGTAGTATTTTGTTCTTCTGTTGGGTTTCTGGGCTCTTGATTATTATATGTCTAGGTGTAGATTTTTTTTGATTGTAGCTAGTTGGGGTCCTATATGCCTCAGTTATCTGAATGTCAAATTCTTCCCCTCTGTTTGGGAAGTTTTCTGTCATTAATTCTGCAAACAGCTTTTTAAAGTCATTTGTATTTTCTCCTGCTACTTCATGTATTCCTATCAGTCTTATGTTATTCTTCTTTGCCTCATCTAGGAGTTGTTGGATCGATTTCTCATAATCTCTTACTGTTTTTTTTCTTTTTATTGAGGTTATTGGTACAATCTAGGTATACAATACAATTACTTTCATCATTGGGATTCTGTA